CGACAGGGTATCGGGACAGGGCATCGCGACAGGGTATCGGGCAGTGAGCCTGGGCACCGGGACAGGGCACCGGGCAGTGGGGCTGGACACCGGGACAGGGCACCAGTGCACCGGGACAGGGCACCAGTGCAGGGCACCGGGATGGTGAGCCTGTGCACCGGGACAGGGCAACGGGCCACTGCAACGGTGCAGTGAGGCTGGGCACCAGGACAGGGCACCAGAGCACCGGCACAGTGAGGCTGGGCACCGGGACAGAGCACCAGTGCACCGGGACAGTGCAACAGGACAGTGCAACGGGGCAATGCACTGAGACAGGGCACAGGAATCGTGCTCTGGTGCGCCAGGACAGTGCACAGGGACAGCGCACAGGGATAGCGCACAGGGATAATGCACCAGGGCAATGCACCAGGACAGTGAACCTGTGCACCGGGACAGTGCAACAGGGCAATGCACTGGGACAGTGCACAGGAACAGTGCTCCAGCACACCAGGACAGTGCTCTGGGGCAATGCATCAGGGCAGTGCACTGGGACATCGCAACAGGACAGTGCACCGGAGCACCAGGACTGCACCGGGACAGTGCACCGGGACAGTGCACCGGGACAGCGCTGTGGGGCAATGCACCGGGACAGGGCGCCGTGACATTGCACCAGGGCACAGGGCGATACGCAGGGGCAGTTCACTAGCACAGCGCACGGGGACATCGCACTGGGCCAGCTGGGCTGTGCACCAGGACAGCGCAGCCAGGCAGGGCCCTGCGCCACGGGAGCAACGCCGTGGGGCAGCAGGGCTGCGCTCTGGGACAATGCTCTGGGGCACTGGGACAATCATCCAGCATACTGGGGCCACGCAGGGGGACATCATGGGCTGTGACATCAGGACAATGCACTAGGACAATGCACCAGGACGGGGACAATGCTCAGGGCCATGTACAGAGAGCCCCAGGGGAATGCACCAGGGCACTGGGACACTGCACTGGGACACTGCACTGGGGCACTGGGACACTGCACTGGGACAATGTCACCGGGGCACTGGGACAATCCACTGGGACATTGCACTGGGACACTGCGCTGGGACACTGCACTGGGGCACTGCACTGGAGCACTGGGACACTGCACTGGGACAATGTCACCGGGGCGCTGGGACACTGCGCTGGGACACTGGAACACTGCACTGGGACAATGTCACCGGGGCACTGGGACAATCCACTGGGACATTGCACTGGGACACTGCGCTGGGACACTGCACTGGGGCACTGGGACACTGCGCTGGGACAATGTCACCGGGGCACTGGGACACTGCGCTGGGACAATGTCACCGGGGCACTGGGACACTGCGCTGGGACAATGTCACCGGGGCACTGGGCAGGGGCACGGCCCCATTGCACGGGGCGGGGGGCAGCTGGGTCCAGCAGAGCAATTGGTCCCTGTAATTCTTATCAAACTTTATTAATTATGGTGGTAAGGAAGGGGCAGAATTTGGGGTCCCCGAGCCCCCGAGGTGAAGCTCGGGTGACGTGGGGACATGGGTGGCCTGCAGACACAAGGTGCCCTGGGGCCCTGCGATGGTACGGGCTGCCCTGGGGCGCGCCTGGATCAGGCCCTCGCCTGGGGCTGGCTGCTGGGAGGGGGATGCAAAGCAGCTTTCAGCAGCCCCGTGCCGTGCTGCAGCATCACCCCACGCTCCCGTTGTCCTACATTTTGGGGAATTCCCCTGAATCCCACCTCCAAAGCCCAAATCCGAGTGGGGGGACCCCCTCCTCAACCCCCTAATTGCCACCCCACGTCCCCTAGGGAAACATTTCCTCTATAAATTCCAGATCCAGCAAAAAAAGAAAAAAAAAAAAAAAGCAGCAAAGCTTTTTAAACCTCCTGCCATTTCCAAGCTCTGACTCAGGATTTCTGCTCGGGGCCGGCGCGTCGGGGCCTCGCTGGCTCTGACTCACTGCAAAAACCAGCCCCGAATCCCGAGCGCTGATTCACGGGAACACGTGCTGTGCTATAAGCGGCCGGGAATGCGAGTTGCTGCTTTCCATGGGGCTCCTTCCAAATCGCTCGCGGGAGGTAGAAAACAGCAACGCTGCGGGAGAGGGGGAATTGCAACCAGGATTTATTTTTGCTGCAGATTTTGCAGCGAGAGGCGTTTAGCCCGGTCATTTCACTGGGTCGGTGCATCCGTTGCTGAATTCCTGGCAGTGCAATTCCCACGGGAGGAAGAGGACTCGGAGCAGAGCCCAGTCATGGGGTTGCAAGCGGGTTTTTGGGGTGGCTGCGGCTGCTTTCCCTAAGGGATTTCGGCAAAGCAAGAGACTTTTTGCATAAGTAAATTCAAGATATTTTGCAGCTCCTGGGGTGGTCAAAGCCTCGGCCCAAACAGGAGGGGGCACTGCCCTGGGCTGGGCTGTCCCTGAGAAATGTCCCTGTGTCCCCGTGTCCCCAACAGATTCAGATGGCTGTACCCCCCCCCCCAAACACAGCCAAGGGGCTGCCCAGATGTGGCCCCAGCCATCCAGAGGTTGCATGGGTCACCCAGGTCTTTAACTGCAGTGCCTAAATGTTGCCCAGGGTGCCCAGATGTTGGTCCCGGATACTCAGATATCACCTGGCATGCCCAGATGTTGCCCCGGGGTGCCCAGATGTTGGTCCAGGATACTCAGATATCACCCAGGGTGCCCAGAAGTTGCCCCAGGGTGCCCAGATGTTGCTCTAGGTGTCCAGATGTTGCCCCAGGATCCTCAGGTATCAGCCAGGATGCCCAGATGTTGCCCAAAGATGCCCAGATGTTGCCCCCAGCTGCCCTGCCATCGCCGCCGGGTGCTCCACCGTCCCACACTGGGGCTCACAGCCGTTGGCAGCGCCGCCACCGCTCCGGCACCGGGGGAAGTCACCGCCTGCGGTCGCGGTTTCCTCTCCCTGTGCTGCGGCTCCCGGTCCCCACGGCCCGGCCAGGCCTGGAGTGGCCTCTGCATCCCCCAGGGCACAGTGGATTTTTGCAAGAAGCCACATTGGGCCGTCAAAAATAACCCCTTGTTGCAAAAACATGGCCCTGTGCCCAGCTACGGGCTTGAAATCAAAGCCTGGCTCTGCCTCTGCTCCGTCACTCATCGCCCTGGCCAGGCTGCGGGTACGGGGACCCCAGGGTGGGGACAGGGGTCTTCGGCCTCTGCATCCCCCAGGGCACAGTGGATTTTTGCAAGAAGCCACATTGGGCCGTCAAAAATAACCCCTTGTTGCAAAAACATGGCCCTGTGCCCAGCTACGGGCTTGAAATCAAAGCCTGGCTCTGCCTCTGCTCCGTCACTCATCGCCCTGGCCAGGCTGCGGGTACGGGGACCCCAGGGTGGGGACAGGGGCCTCCCCCCGCAGCCACTCATCCGTCCCCTCCCCACCCGCCCTCAGCAAGCGGTGGCTGTGGGAAAGGTCGGGATGTGTAAAATTGCCGGGATTTGGAGCAAATTCATGCACGGGCTCGCACGGGCACATGCACAGGTACAGCTGCACAGGTCGGTGTACAGCTGCACAGAGGTGTGCGCATGCAGCTGTGTACATAGCTGTGCACACATGCACACACTTGTGTGTGTCTGCAAACACATAAATGCATGCGTACACGTGTACATGGCTGCATATCCACTATACGTGCACGCAAGCACGTGCACCTGCACAAACCCTCATGCAGGCATGCATATGCATGTACGTGGCTGCACATGCACACATGCATGTGCGCTTTCATACACACACATGCATGTGTGTACACGGTTACACACATGGACGCGTACCTGCACACACACACGCATGCACACGCCTGTGCACACAGAGACATATCCATACACATGTACACGGCTGCACACGCACATGCACACGGCTGCACACGCACATGCACACAGATGGATGTACACACGCACACGCGTACAGGCCCGCACACACGTGTGGGACTCTGGGACTGGGGACTAACCGGAGACATTGCCCTCCTCTCTGCCCGGCTCATGCTGCTGCCTGGATCCTGCTGCTGTCCCACCCGTGGGGACGGTCCCCTGGGGGTCCCACCCGTGGGGATGGTCCCCTGGGGTCCCACTGGCTGCCTGTGGCCCCTCAGCCCCGGTGCCACCCTGCCCATGCGGTGGGGACAGAGCCAGCGTGGCAGGACTGGGTCCCCAGGTGTGATGGCAGAGGGCGTCCCCTGGGTCCCCCTGTCCCCAGGCTGGCGGAGGGGGTCCCCTGGGTCCCCACCGGTGGTACCGGGGTGGCACCGGCAGCAGGCAGCCGTGCCCCCCGGGCAGAGCGGGGTCCCCGGCGGAGACCGGGGTGTCCCCTGGGCCAGTGCCCGGTGCAGGAGGACCCCCGGGGGGAGGTGGGGACCCCCGGTCCGTTCCGGGGCGGACCGGCCCTTCGGGTTACACCGGCTGCGCACCGGGCCCCCGGCCCCTTCCCGCTGCAGACCGACCCCCGGTGCAGCCCGACCCCCGACGCGAACCCATCCCGGAGCAGCTCGGACCCCCGGTGCGGCCCCATCCCGGCGCGGCCCCCTCACCGCCGGCA